TATTGATTCGTGTCCCGGTTATACTCCCGTCTCCTGCCTTGCATCCCCCTCCTCGTCTCCGTGCTCTGATGGTGAAGGAATGATGGAATGCTGGAGGGGTAAACCTCTGGTTTCCTGGAAGCTGGTCCGGCTTTATCAGAAGCGGCTGTGACAATACTTGAGCTGATGGGCCAACCGAACAAAATTTCCTATAAGCGCCGATCAGGCAGCAGAGAGCCTTCCTGGAAGAAATAATCATCAAACTGGAGGCCCTTCCTGGAAGGCCAGTTGGGAGGCATTTTCCCTAACCTCTTAATATTCTTTCCACCTTTCAAGGTGGCTGACTTTGGCAGGAGCTCAGAAATTTAATGAGAGAAATTACATTTTCTGCTAAACTGAATGGAGTGAGTGCTGAACGGCTCGAAAGAAAACTGCTAAGGAGGCTGCAGCTGAGTTGTTCAAACTAAAAGAAGCTGAACTAACCGAGGGCTTAAAGAAAAAGAGCTGAAAGTAGCTAAATGCTAGCTAAAAGTTAAAAGTGACAAAATGTTAATGTTAAAAGTAGTAAAATGTTAGTTAAGAGTAGCTAAATGCTAGTTTAAAGTAGCAAACAAGTGCTCAAATTAGAACAACTCTAGCTAAAGAAAGCAAAATAATATTCTAATTGTAAAATTAGCTAAATGATAAAGTAGCTAAATGTTAGCTTAAGTAACAAAATGTTTTCTTAAAATTAACTCTAGCTGAAGCTTAATGTAGCAAAATGCTATCTAAAAGATAAAAGTACCAATACACTAATTAGAAGTAGCAAAATATTAGCTTAAGTAGCAAAATGCTAACTAAAAACAAAAGGTAACGAGCACTAGCTTAAAGTGTAGCAAAGTGCAATTTAAAAGTTAAAAGTGCCAATATACTAAAAGTAGCTAAATACTAGAGTAGCAAAGTTGTTAAAGTTAAAAGTTCTTAAAGTTTATAAACGTAACAAAATGCAAGCTAAAAGTAAAAAGAGCTAAAAGTAAAAAACAAAACACTAGCAAAAACTAAAGGAATTGCATTTCCTGTAAAAATGCAATGTGAATGTTTATTGCTGAAGAACTTGCTGAAAAACAGCTGAAATTAGCTAAAAAAAATCTGAAATCTAGCTGAAATGGAAGAACAAGCCCAAATTAGCAGAAGAAAGCAAAAAGAACACATACATGCTGAATTAGGTGTAAATAAGCAGAAATTAGCACACACTAATAAGAAAATTAGCTTAAATAAAGGTGAAATTAGCACACAAAAAAAGCTGCAAAGTAGCTGAAAAGGCAAAAAGAAGCTTCTACCAGATGGAAATGAGAACTGAAATGAGCTAAAAATATGGAATTAGAAAAAACAAAAATTAGCATCAAGAGCTAAACAGTAGCTGAAAGAGCAGAAAAATCTGAAACTAGCACAAAAAAGCTGAAAGGAGCATAACAAGCTGCAATTAGCATGAAGAAGTTAATTAGGCTGAAAGTAGTGAAAAACTTGAATTTATCTGAAAACAGCTGAATTTTGCACAAAAACATGCTAAAAAGCTAGCTGAAAGGTTAAAAGTTAAATTAGCAGAAGAGAGCGAACACGTTTGCCCAATTAGGCTGAAAGAAACAGAAATGAGCACAAAGAAGTGGATATTATCTTAAGAAAGCTTACATTAGCCCAAACAGCTGAAAGTAGCTAAAAAGCAGGAAGAAGCTCAAGTTCCCAGAAAGAAGCGGAGAGCACATTTTTTTCTGAATTAGGCCTCATACATTAGCTTAAGTAGCAAACCACTAGCTAAAAACTAAAGGTAACAATTAGTCTTTAGCTAAAAGTAGCAAAAATATCTTAAATGTAACAATAATAAAACAACTTCTATGAGCGGAAAGTAGCAAAACTTTAACTTAAGTAGCAAAACGCTACCTATAAACTAAAGGTGAAAAACACTAGCTATTCATTCAACCTTTACTTAAACAGATAAATCACTATGAGCTAAAAGTAGGCAAATATGCTGAAGTAGATTTAAAAAAGAAGTTTTTGAACGAATTAGCCCAAATCATTGGAACAAATTTAAATATTTTTAAGTTACCAGGGACGAACTGAACGTTTTGATATTTGAAGTGTTAAAATAGCGCAAAGGTTTCAGTAGTTAATACTGATCAACAAAGGAACAACAGACAAGGAATAAAGAGAAACAGGAGCTAGAGTGTGATGATTTTAATCTGGCTCAGTCTTTCTCATTTCTTTGTGCTGCTTTTAAAATATGCAGTTGAAGATATAACGGGCGAAAGCTTTGATTCTTGGAAATAACAAGCAAAAAGTCAAAACTGAGCTCTGTTCGGCTGTTGTGCTTGGCTGTTGACAACAGTTGAGCTGGACACAGCAAGTCATAACCTGAAAAAATGAATCATAGTGGAAAAACTTTGAGCAAGAGCGTGTGAGATTCGCAAGAGGAGAGGAGGATAAATGGACAAACTATTCCAGCTCCACTCACCAGGCAACTATGGAGAACAAAATGAGTCATAGTGAGCTGAGCTAGCTTATTTAGACAACGTGTTTGTGTGTAAAAACTGGATTGTTCTGGTTGGATTTTTGGGAAGAAGGCAGTTCTGTTTGTCTTTTAACCAGCTCTGGATCAGTTTTCCTCTCACAAACAAACAGTCTCATTCATAGGTGTCAAAAGCAAAACGGGAACTGATTGACTGCAGTTACCTGAACTGAGGTACGCACAGGAAAAACATCTCAATCCTCAGTTACGGTTTTAAAATCCCTCATAAGTCATTTATTCATGGCAGAAAATTCACATTTTAGATCATTTTTTCCCTCCAGCGAAAGGTACTTAATGCCCATGTCCAAAAAACCAATGCGTATAATGCTTGTGCGCATTCGTCTGTTAGCAAAATATCAACGTTTAGAAAAAACAACACAAAAACGGTTATAATTCCGTCAGTTTTACAGATATTGACCTAAAACTTGTAATAGCTGACTGAACGCTGACACTCTGAGCACTGACAGATTGCACAGTATTGCTATTATTTGCTGTCAACTCTGCCTGTTAGCAAAATATCTCACGAACCTCTTAATTCAATTCAAAAATACTTTATTAATCCCAAAGGGAAATTAAATGTAACTCGTTATCCTTGTTTCATTGAGATGTTATAGATGCTGATGGCTGTAGGCAGGATCTGTTGTAAAGGTCCATCCCACAGCGGATCCGAAGGAATTGGCCGCAGATAGCGTCCGATCCGTGCACCCAGACTCGTCTAGCCTCTCGGTTCCCCCGGGCTGCAGGGCCATCCGAATGCCGGGCAGAACTCCTCCCAGAGTGAAGGCCACTCCTCCCAGCAGAGCTCCTCGTCGCTATGGACAGCTGGCTGCAGGTGCCGGGGGACGACGATCTCGGTCCTTCTGCTGTTACGAGCCACGTTTCCTGCTAGTTCCAGGATCTCAGTGGTCAGGCACTCAAGCACAGCCGGCACAGAGACGGGAATGCATCTACGAGGCCTCCTTTTCAACTCATTTGAGATTAGGGGCTGTAGCTGAGATATTAAACTTTTGAGGTGTTAAACAGCTAGCTGCCAGTTGTAAAAACAAACAAAAAAAAGCACCACGTTGTCATGGTTACGCATCATAACAAATGTCCAAAACTTAAAAAGTTAAATTAAAAATCCTTCCAGCTGCACAGCATCTGATACCAGAGGAAACAATCGTCACAAAAAATGTGATTTACATCCAGAAAAATATGAATTAAAGTTTCCAAAAGCAAAATCTCTGAATGAATGTAACAGAGATACTCCAACATGCAGCCACCTCGAGCGGCGCAATTCTAGAACTCATGTTCCGATTGAATTTATTGAAAATTTCAGGAATAATAAACTAATGATTAACTTTTGTGGAATCAGTTCAGTTCAAGATGGCTGCCGCAGTCAACCGACCTTAGGTAACACTTAAATGTGTTTAATTAAATCAATTGTATTGTGCTTAAATTTGGTGTGGTAGTAGCCGAGACTCACCCTGAACACATACCTGAGTGTAATGTTATTCTGAACGTCTGACCAATCCAACTTCAACTCTGCCGTTTCGCACCCTAAGATAAGCACAAGTTTAAACCTCTGGCATGTCAGGTGCTGGGTGATATGTGTTCCTTCAAGGAATGCTAGAAAAAAAACCTCATTTTCCCATCAGTGCTCCATCCTTTATCGCACTTCTCATACGCACACCAACACCAGGCAAGCCGTAAAAACTCAACTCAATTAAAGTGCCTCTTTCCTGGAAGCAAGCCTCAGACAGAGCACAAGGTATGCAGGGAATGGGAACTCTGTGTGTGTGTGTGGGGGGGGGGGGGAGAGAGAGAGGAGGTGGGTGGTAAAGAAACCGAGAAACTCACCTCCTGCTTAATTTTACCAACAGCCATCGCTCTTGACCAACCACTTACACTCAGCCCTGGCTTCACAAGAAAACCACAAACTGTCATAAATCTCATCCACGTGGCTGCTTTCACCTCCCTGACCTCACACACACACACACACACACACACACACACACTCCCCAGAGGACACCATCCTCTCCTGACTCGTCAGGCAGGATGTATAAAACCCCGCTGCATTCCTTTTCCAGTTAAGTCCAGCCCAAAGTGAGCTTTCTGCGCAGCGGCTGCCGTGTCAGAGGTTGAGTGGATTATGCGTGATGGGAGAGTTTACTCAGTCCGTTGCTTCTGGGAATCTCTTTGTTACTGCACCGTGCATACAACCACTGTTTCCAAACACTCCCCGACGCCTATATCCACTCAGTGCTCCGAAGAGAAGTCCGTCCACGTCTCGCACAAGTGCATAAAGCACTGCTTTGTCCAACTAGGAAATCCCATCTGACGGCAAATAATCTTGTTGTGGAAGCCAGGAATGGCTGAAATACAGTGCGCTTCATAACACATTACAGTAAGTTACCCGGTCAATATTGACTCCGAGGGAGAGAGGGGGAGCACAGAGAGACAAACAGTGAAGTAATACGCAGGGCACGTGCATTGGCTTTTGTAAAAATAGTGCTCTTTAATATAAATTACTTGAAATATCTTAGAAATATAAATATGTGCAACGTTCCTTTTTTCATTTATTTCGTAATGCTTTGTCGTTTCAGGTATTACAGCTTGTACTTCGCCAGACTTGTGGCCAGCCTTTTGCAAGAGTCTTTATAAAAGACAAAATGGTTCACGAACGCGTGGTCCGCCGTCAAGAACTTGGGACGTCGAGAGAGCAAGACCCAGTTCTGACCAGAACAAAACGCGAGCACGTGCGTCACCATGGCTACGTGAACTCACAAAATGTTCTCGGGTGTAAAAACGGCTCCAATATGGATCACGGGCGACTATGAGCACGGAGCAAACACAAGTGAAACACAATCTGGGTCAGAGCTGAGTCTTCCTATTTGTTTTACAAAAGGCTTTTTTTTTTTTTTAAGAATCACTTATGGGAAGTCTTTTGTTCCCTTCAGACAAAATGATATTTTTCTGGAGGCGATGATGGGAAAGAAAAGTCAAACAATGGTTGATAGAACAGCACTTTTCCTCTCATGAATGATGTAAGCACAACCAGAAGGGAGTGAGCTGACTCAGGCATGCCAGGCCATTTTAGTAGAAGAAATTGGGTAATTTATCTATGAGGGCACAATTAAGACTTTCACACCAGCTGGTAGAACCCCATCAATTAAATCAATGGTTTTTGTTGAGTTATATACCAGTATGTCTCACCACCCTTGTTGTTTTTAATTTCTCTTCCTTAATCCCATTTCCTGCTCCTTTTACTCTTCAAATGATCATTTTACTCCCTATTGCTGTCCCAGGGAATAAAATTCCCAATTCCCAATATATTGTTGCCAACGCTTTAGAGATAAAGGCAACATTTTGGTCCCGTCGCCTAACTATGGCTCAAAGCAACGAACAGAGGGCAAGACGATGGGAGGATGAGGACAACAAAACAAAAAGGGAGCAAGAGAAATGCTTTGTAATTACGTCTTTTTTTGTCCCACGCTAACAAAACCTCCATGTGGGCCTGTACCTGCATGATTGCGTATGGAGCCAGCATGCATGGCCAGCCCACTCCTCTCCATGTTGCAACGTTTGCGGGAAACGGCGATGGAAATATGTGCAAAACCACAACACACAGACAAACAAACACTGTGCGTCGGGCCTCCTCGTTCGGATTTTGCCTCCAGCTTTTCTCAGCCTCTTTGCTTTGTCGTCTGCCTCCCTCTCTCCCTGTCCAGGGTAGTGAATGTTATGCTGACACAATGGGATTCTCCTTTAACACAACAAGCTCACTGGTAACGCCTTCACTTTCATTGCTTACATCAACCAGGTTAATCTACGAGACACTGCTCTGCGTCTGAGTCGTTCATAAGAAATCCTTTGACCTCTGGTTCTATCTGCCACTCGCGCTAGCTTCTCTAAGGCAGGATGGACGAGGTAATTGTTGGTTACCCAAATCACACTCCTAATCCAGGACTTTAATGTCCATCGGTGGTTAAAAAGCTATGAAACGGTCTGATTCTGGCCACTACGGGGTAAAAAAAACAACCTTATATTAGTATCTAAGGCTCAGTCTGGTCAGTTTCTGGTGGCGCAAACGTTCTCATTCAAGCTGAGAACTGGTCTGTGCTCCTCCAGGCACGTGGTCCGTGTAGTAGAACCTCTGCAGTTCCGGTCAGTCATATAGGAGCATCGTACTTCTCCAAGAAGTCTTTAAGTGTCTGTGGAAGTTGTTCAGTTCGCCCCAACGCCGCGAGGCCCCCGTTGTTTAACGTCCTCCTGCACATGTGCTGCAAGGATGAGAGAGAACTTAAGAGGGGCTTCAGCAACTCCAGGGGGATTTTCTCTTTCCCAGTGTGGATCAGATAAACGGTGCGTCCCTTTTTTTTTGCATCTCCCGAATCGTCTCCATTGGCCCCATCTCTCGTCCTTCCCGTATCCATCCCTTTCCCCATGTAGTGCGCTATGAGTTTCAGCACACAGTCGAACTGAGGAGGCTCGTGGGACTTTTGAGGGTCTGGCTCCAGGAAGAAGCCCCCTCCCTCGCTGTGGATGCGCACGTTCTTCGTTCCTCGAGCTGTCTGCACGGACAAGGTGAAGAAGTGGTGGTGGTCCGACGAGTCGCGGACCAGGAAGGTGCCGGGAGGTTCAGAGCGCAGCATGGAGTTGGCCTCCCGGGCTCCAACAGCGCCCCAGTAAAAGCCGCTCTCCTGGAGCTTCTGCAAAGCACACATCACCTGAAACAGAAAGGAAGTCTACGGTTATCATAAGGCACGATGAGTCAGGGTGAATAATTCAACTGTAGTAATACATGCAGGTGGCTCGAGGTGTGGCTGATAATCTATTTGATGCGTGGTGATGCAAACATGAACTCTGAATCAATGAATCAAACATCCGCAACCAAAGATGTGCACATTTGAGTCGCCATAGACGTTGACTGACCTGCTGGTAGTGCTCATGCGAGCTGAAGGGCTTGTAGTGAAGCGGGGTGAAGTTTGCCCCCTGAACTCTGCCCTCTGGAGGGGCCACGCTGCTCATGGCGAGGGGCCTGCGTCCGTTGACGGCTGTTACGGCGCCATGGCCCCCTGCCTCCGCCCTCTGGCTGAGGGGCAGGGGGCCCACTACAGGATCCCCGGTGGGGGCAGGCAGCAAGGAGTGAAGAGCAGAGGGAGAAGAGACAGAAGAGGTCTGGGGCGAGGGAGACGGGGTCACACACCGGGTCCAGGGCCCCGGGGAGGGGGAGTCTGATGCATCCAGAGAGGGGCTGTGAGAGAGCACCTAAACACAGCTGGAGGAAAGAAGCACGGGTTAGACATGACATGCAACCTCTGCACACCAACTTCATATAAACATGACCGCTCTGCCACATTGCTCTCAGCTTACCCCCCATAAAATGCAGTTATGGCGACTGTGACAAATGCACGGAGCAGTTCTGGGCAGGTTATATTTAGTTTAAACGAGGGCTCTGCGGACTCACGCTGAGCCTGAAGCCAGACAGCAACTGGATCCTGATTGCTTTCAATTGTCTTCGATCGGTGCACCGCAACAAGGGATTTCTGAATCGGGGTCACTTTGTGAAAGAGTCCCCGCATTCTTTTTCTTTTTTCCCTCCCTCCTCCTTTCTTTTCTTTATTTAAAAAAATAAAAAAACTCCCCTGCTCTGAGGGGCCTTTCTCCGGTTTCACTGAAAAGGTGTCCGGTCTGGTTTGCTTTACTACGAGCCGCTTGTCGGGAAGCCGGTCACTTTTACCCGCCGTACCCCTCCTGGCTTGTGCGTAACAAACACCCCAGACAAACATGTCTATTTAACAAACACCGACTCTTTGGTTTGGTTTTACTGTCTTTTTTTTTTCTAACCGACTACACCGGCTTTCTTTCTATAACTTACCTCGCGGATTTGTTCAACTCCGTGCCGCAGCCGCTCGCAGAAGAAAAAGCTGCGCAAACTACCCGAAAGTAGTGCTAGTTGGATTATTATCTCAGGCATTAAAATCCCACGCAAAAAGGTATCTAAAAAAATCCCAAAATAAAGTGTGTGTGTTTGTTTTCAGAGCGGAGGAATGCGGGCAGATATCTGCCCGAAGAGGTTCCGTGTGTGTGTGTGTATGTGTGTGAAAGGAGGAGACGGTGTGCTCCGTCCGTGAGGAGGAAGGTTACAGGAGGTTGTGCCGTTGTTCGTAAGGCTCCGCCTCCTCCGTTCAGACCTTCTTCCAGTAAACACGCGCACGCGCTCGCACGCGCGCACCCCAAAGAACAAGCGCTCGTGCTCGCGCTTGGCAGATCGCCAATAAATAATCGTCGCGACCTTTGCCTGCGCGGTTTCCTGGTACTGATGGGTTCCCTTTTCTCGACAAGGTGAAAAAAAAATGTAAAAAGCCTCCGCGTGTGGCACAATAAACGGCGCCATTTTCAGCTGTTAATGTTTCATATCTATGAGTGTTTAAGTTTATGCATAACGCAACCCAGTATTTAAATTAAAGGTGCTCCATTTTTTTTTTAATGAAATGCATGTCGCCCGCTAGTAAAAGTGCGTTACACGTGAATAGCTCTCAGCTGCTGTCTTGCTGAACTTTAGCTCAGAATATGTAAAATTCACAGAGTTATAGCCATTTTTGTGTAAGCTGAGGTTGATGAACTGTGGCGGCCATCTTGAATTGGATTGACTCCAAAAGGTTCTCACTTGTACTTTGTAGATGCACACCCAAATATTTACATTTTCAGGTTTGCATTAAAATATGCTTTGTGGTTCAAAATATATTTTACTAACAGACAAACTGATTCCAAACAAGGTTTGAAGCTCAAGTGTTGCGTACGATGCTCAGCGACTACCACGCTAAATTTTAGCTCAATACCTGTAAAATTCACAGTTTTTGCCATTCACGTGTGGGTTGAAATCGATTAGCTGTGGCAGCCATCTTGAATTCAATTGACTCCAAAAGTGAATTACCGTATTTTTTGGACTATTAGGCACACTTAAAATCCTTTTATTTCCTCAAAAGTTAACAGTGAGTATTGTTATGTATTAATTCTGGTTATGCTTACTGACCTTGAATCGGTTTTATGTGGTACACGGCACTCAAAAATCTGTCAAAATATTTTAGGTTTGTTTAATGCACCTTATAATCTAGTGCACTTTATGTACAAAAACAGACCCGTTCATTGACATTTTGCCTTATAGTCTAAAAAAAATACAGTAGTTGTGTAGTACAATAGTCCCTCGCTACTTCGCGGTTCGTTTATCGCGGGCTCGCTCTATCACGGTTTTTCAAAATAAGACTGGACACTACACATAAAGACCGACTGGTGGATGAGCCGCACGATCAGCATGGAATTTTTATTTAAAATAAATCATTTAAAAGTATTTAGCACCTGCTGCACCTTTGTGCAACCCACACTGCAGGATAAACTTCCTGCTACAGCTGATCAGCTGATCTCCGTGCAGAATGTGAGGAGTGGGCGTGGCCGAGAGCGCTTGCTGAGAGCAGAAGAGGCAGGGAGCTGAAATCATGACATGCTGTGCTCTTTTAGAGCATTAAGAGTTTAGAAACTTTGTTTAGAATCTTACAAGCGTGTGGGAAGGGTTTAAAATGCCTATATATATATATATATATATATATATATATACAACTACTTACTACTTATACCACTATTCCTACTTCACGGTTTTTCACTTATCACGACACTGTTCAATGATTTGTAGACATACATCAGTATTTTGAACTGGATTCGAAGGTGAACCGGTAGCCAGTGCAGTGAGGCCAAAACTGGTGTAATGTGCTCTCTTTTGTCTGTACTGGTTAAAAATCGGGCTGCTGCATTCTGGACCAGTTGTAGTCGTGCAATGGAGGTCTGACTGATACCAAACAGGAGTGAATTGCAGTAATCGTGATGAATGCATGTATTACGGTCTCCAGGTTATTTTTGGACAACATGGGCTTCAGTTTAGACAGCCGCCTCAGTTGGAAGAAACATGATTTAACAATCATGTTTACATGATTGTTAAGTTTCAGGGAAGAGTCCATTATCACGCCCAGATTAGTGTTGATTAATGGTGATTAATGGTGATTAATGGTAAGGTTTTGAACACAAACGATTAGCACTCAGAGTGTAAAATTTGGGTCAATCTCAGCTACTACCACAACAAATTTTACCCATTTGTCAAAGTGACTGTTTGCTAAGCCCACCTAGCCATGTCGGCCATCATCGACTCATTGTTTACATTCTGAAAGTTTTGTTAAAGTTTCTTTGATGATTCCTGAGAGATTTTGGTAAAGGTGCAGACAAACAAACGCAAAATCATTATTGCTCACAAACACCGCTGCTGCTGCCAAATAAAACTGGTACGATATGTTAGCGCAGTTAGAAGTTAGGTCAACACTCCAGTATGTTTTAAATAATTCACGTTTAAACTCTGTAAAGTGATAAATCTTTATTTTTGTTGTTGTTGTTGCAGACACTGCTTTCCTCCCCCAGTGTATTTGGTTTAGTTCTGCAATCTGAACACAATTTAAACACAATGTAAATAATCTCTGCTTGTTAGGAATCCCCCATTGAGTTTCAATAGATAAATCTTACCTTTTATCTTTTGAAAATGTGCATTTTCAAAAACAAAATCCAGCCTTTTTATCTAATTTAGACCTTTTTTTATCCAAAGATAAAAGTATCTTTTCCACTATCTTGTAAGTCGGTGAAATGCATCAAGACAAAGTCCCTGAGGCTGTTGTGCTGTGCCAGTAAGCATCTGGCTTACTGTAAGTGCTCTTGAGCAACAGAAATATATTACTCCTGGCCTGCCTGGCCTGATTTATTTTTTTTTTTTAAGGAAAAGCCTTGTGTTGTAAAACTTTATTTGTACGTCACATAGCATTGTATGAAAACAATGTATTTGCAAACCGGCAGCAGGTCATGTGATGACTTGGTCATACGACTAGATGTTCTCCAACATTGTTTAATTAGGCGAAGGCGGGGCGATAATGTTTTTACTGTAATGTTTTCATACTTGTGCGTGCTGGTAAAGACTCTCAGTCATCCAGGACATGTTACATCCAAACAAGATTAAAGGCAAAAACAACTGGACTTCTGTTCTGAAGACGTTTCACTTCTCATCCGAGGAGCTTTCCCAGTTCAAAGAAACGGGGAGTGTGGGATTCAAATTATATTAAAACCAGTGGACGGGTTTCATTGAAACTCAAAAAGTAATGAATAAAAGAACATGACTCAGGCAAGTTTACAGATAGCTAAATTTGGCGTGCAGTAGCTGAGAGTCTTCCTTTGACTAAGTATTAACTGTTGAAGTCAATTCTGTTTGTCTGTTAGCAAAATATCTCATGAACCACTGGGCAGATTTTAATAAAACTTTCAGAAAATATGCATTTGATGTACACTTACAGCTGATTAATATTAGGAGTCAACCCAATTCAAGGTGTTACTATCAATATTTTAAGATGCACTGTACTGTATTTCATTTACCACTAACATGCTTTGTGGGAAAACATCCAGAAGAGAGACACACTGCAGGTATATTTTATATTATAGATTTTATGAGATTGTTTTTGTTTGTTTTTGGCAGTTTTATAAGTTAAATGCTTGGATTTTTACATATCAACTAGAATATAATACATTGTATTATTACAATACAGGTCAAAATTAACATGTTCTCCAACTAGACCACAAACAGTACATTATCTGTTAAAACCTCCAGAATGTAAAATATTATAACGGTGAAAACGTTAAGTTTAAACATGCGCGGAACGAAACAATGGATTCAACTCCTATTTGCAAGTTTAAAAAAAAGAGGAAGAACTCACAGGTAACGCCGTGAAAACTTCTCCAGTTAAATGTTAGAACGAATGTTTTCGACACTTCAATTTCTCTGAAATGATTTGCTTAAATATGCAAATGAGCTGTTATCAAATTAGTTTATTTGCACATCTCAAATAGGCAAACTGTAGCGAAATAACCCCCGAGAGGGGCTTTGTCTGGTTTGTTTTTCTGGTGCATATCGTGCCATTTTCTGATACAAGTCTTTCTGACTAAATATATCATACTTGGATTTTTATTATTATTATTGTTATTTTGCTTATTTTGGCACCACTGCAGAATAACATTTCATAAAGTAAAGTTGTAGCACTAAAAATAGAGCGTTTAAGCCATTGGAGTAAAAGTAATTTAAAAAAACTAAAATTACAAGACAAATGTTAATTTTCCTGCATGATTACCTTTATGAAAACAAAAAAGAGGGATATAAAAGTTTAATTTGCACCAGTTATACCAGGGTTGCATTAACATGACAAATTATTGTTGTTTTAAACGTTGACCAAAGAGTCATTAGCGTAATGCCTAATGAGTTTGTGTTTAAAGAATTCATGCATGGCTACATATACGTCATTAAACGTCACATGGAGGGCATAAATCAGTGTATTTGATTAAATAAAAGCCTAACATTAATTAAAGAAAAGCATATCGCCCATCTCCTATCATGACAGCATTTTAAACTACCATCTTCTATTGAGAAATGACTTTGACATTTTGATAACTTATTTCATTCAGATTTTTCACATAAAATTAAAAGTTGGAAATGGTTTTCAGGTTGACCACTGGTGGAGTTTTTAACATGCAGCACTGTGTAAAAGTTTTAAATCACTTTTCAATGAGTCTAACATTTCGTTTATAGTTTAAAATGGTCTTGATCATTATTTTTCCAGACTTTTTGAACGTTTTTTTCTTTGACGTTTGGCAGCTCTTTCTCTCATTTTCTGTCCAGTTCTTGTGTCTGACACAGCAAATGACTTTGAATGCTTAAAAGAGAAGAAAATTGGAGGAAAGAACAAGACGTTTCATACTTTGAAAACTACTTTTAGCAGGTGAATATGTGATCATGACTTTAGGAAATAGGGGGGAAAATAGAGCTTGAACAACCTTCAGTTAATTATGTTTAAGTTTTCATCTAACACATGAGAATCGCATTGTTGGTGCTAAAATCTAATATGTAAATCAAACTGTGTTATATTTTGTATTTTTCATCCAGTTTGAAATTATTTTTTTGCAAAGTTGTGTATATCACTACAATTATTCATTGAGTTTTATAGGTCAGAGGTAAGTGTTAGAACAATACTCTGACAGTTATCAGTTACTGGGCTAAAAGTGAGATAAAAATATTTAATGTTCAAAGAAAGACCTTCAGAAAGCCTGAAAAATATTTACCAAGGCCACTTTATAAGATTAGAAAAAGTAAGTTGAAAGATAAAGAACGACTGAAGACTTTTGCACAGAGCTCTACGTTTGTTAACCTATAAATATTAACAATATTTAGTTGATCCACAATATAATTTGCAAGATATAATTATTTTTAGTCCATATTCAGCAACGCTTTATACCTCAGAGTGCGTGTGTAAACTGAGTGAATCTCAATAAAGTTTTTTGAACACGCTCAGGCTGCAGCAATGGCGGCTCCCAAGTCATGGAGGAGGCTACTGTGTTCCCTGTCCTCGCCGGCCATTGTCGGGGTTTTAACTCGGATATCTGACCGGCTGTTTCGGGCTCGGGACAGAAGAAGGGGGTAAGAGTAACTATTAACCTGCTCGGGTACAGATACGGAGACAAAACCCGGAGTTTTTTCACACCGGACAGTTCTCCCTTTTAGCATGCCTTGCTAACGATGTTGCTGCTAATACATCCATTATCGGACTCGCTTAACGTCGGCGCTGTTAGTAGAAGGTTCTGGGTTGTGCGTTAAAGTTGTGTTTATTTTTGGTACATTTTTACATGAAAATGCTCCTCATGAGAGCGTTGGTAATACTTCTTGTGACGCTTTGCATACAGTTGTTGTTAACCTTGAAGGTTAGTTTTTGTAAGTGAACTAGTTTGATCTACTGCTGAAACTTGACACGTCTTATACAACATCATATTTTCTTTAAAAAAAAAAGACTTTAACAGTGGTCGTACATTACATGAACATGTTTAGCACAGCAGTTGAAGTGTCTATTTCGATCCCACTGGCAAACCTGTGCTTTCATTAAAAGTTAAGTCATTTTTATATAAACAATACCGGTAGATCTTTTTTCTCTGTCAACATTGAATGACCTAGAATAGAAACCACTTCGTTAGGATGAGCAGGTTTCAAGTTCCTGTCAGTGTGAGTGTTAGGTCATTGATCTTTACTGGAAAAGATATAAAACTGCGCCAACACTTCGTCCAGACTCTGTGTTTACTGATAAAAGACAAAAACTGCACCCAAAACATTCAATGAGTTATTATTATTATTATTATACATACGTTTTCTTTATGGGATCACTGGTGCCCATGTCCAACAGTCACTGTGTGAGATGGACCTGGACAGGTCACGAGTCCATCACAGAGACAAATGAGACAGACAACCATTTACACTCACACTTATAGTTGCCATTTCTAAAATTATAACCCTTAAATTATTTTTCTTGCAAAAAAAAAATTAGCTGCTTTTTTTCTTTTTACTATTCTTTTTAATATTCTTCTTCTTCCCAATATTCTTCTACTTGTAATCTTGTTCATATTTTTTCATTCATTCATCCGTGTCTGTTCTACCAAAATTCCTTTTGCACCACTGAATGCATTATTCTTTGAAAAGTTCAGAAATTATTCGTTGAATGTACGTCTACATCAGAGCTATTCGACTAAACTGCTCAAGGAGCCACAGTTACTGAAAGCCAAAAGCTTAGGGGCCAGACATCCAGCAGTTATTGTCATTAAATAAGATTTTTTTACGATTTAAAATCTAGTTTAGATCTAGTTCTAGGGCCACCAGTTGAATAGCCCGTCCATTTGACTTGTGGAGGCAATTCAATTCAAGATGGCTGCCTCAGCTTATCAATACCAGCCAACACAATAATGGCTACAACTCAGTCAATTTTACAAACATTGAGCTAAGATTAGGTGTGGTAGTAGCTGAGAGTCATCCTCAAAACATACCCTTAGTGTTACGTCTTGTGATTTTCCACGAGTGTGTTTAACATCATTTTCAAGGTTTGACTAAAACGTCTGGAACTCATCATTCCTCAACATAAGATGATTTTAGATTAAAATGTGGCTGGCGATATGTATTTTTAAAATGATGAAAAAAATAAAATTATTAACAAAAAAATATGTCTTTGTACTAGCTGCTTAGCATATAATACTTTATAAAATAAAACATGTATATTTACTTTAAAATTTTAAGTTTAATGAAGCATTGATTAAAAATATGCATTAACCAGCCTCAAATGATTGTTACAAAAACAACAGCTTTGACAACGTGTGTTGATTTCTTTCTACCAGCATGTAAAACGACTGTAATCCTTGGTTTACCAGAACAGTTGACACTAGTCAAAGTTGCTCTCCTGCACGTCTGCCTCAGGTGAAAAGAGGTGAGGATCTTCTGGGAGTAGTCTGCTGTAGAATTCAGGCACATTTTGTTCAGCACGTTACCCCACTTAAATGTGGTCGCTGTTAAAGACAATATTCAAACCAAGCTGCTAGGTTGGCAACAATGACTAAACATTTGTCAGGATTTGACAAAAATATAGAAAAATGGGGGGTTCTTCAGTGCAGGTGAGTAGAAAAACATGCAAAGTGAGGAAACTAATAGCAAAAGATCATATCAGGACAAGCATTACAGTATGACTATGCATTTATTTTGAGAAAATTGTTATATATAATAAAAGTTTGGTATATCTGAGGTGAAACTTCTTCAGCTGCTGCACACTCAGACATTAGATACTTTGACCTCTTTGCTATCACTGCTTATCTTGTACTGACTTTCTACGAAGAGATAACCAAGAGAAACGCTACTTTCTTCCCATGCTTTAATTTAGATAAAGAAGAAACAAAAAAGTCGCCTCCTGGAAATATTGTTTACATTTGGCTGCGCATGCTCAACCATCCCGTACTCATTTGTTTACATCGTATAAATTAGATTGGTTCTGTGAAAATAGTTGTCTTGCTTTGCATGTTGCATTTGCATTTAGTTAAGACATGACAAGTCTTTTTTTTTTTTTTTTCCTTTCGTTTTTATCCAGTGTTGAAGAAGCTCAGAAGCTTACTGGTATTTTTTTCTTGGGATTTTAAAAACTGGACAAATTCTTATCTTGGTATTAAATTTGATCTTTATAGATCACATAACTGAGTAAGAAATGTTGATTAGTTCTTTTTACACAATTATTAATAATTTTACAAAACCTTGAACTGTTTGTAAAGAGATTATTGTGGAAAGGATGCATTTCTAGAAGAAATATTAAAACACCATCCATGATAAGAACATACTGTATATTTTAATCTCTAAATTCTAAAGGCTGCTTTCTTATTTAGTTATATTGATATGGATTGTATCTGCTTGATAAAACCAGGATGTTGCAGATTCAGTGTTTGTAGCTGCTAAAATCCTATATTTTAGGCTCCTGGTTGCTGTTGTTCCTGGTAGGCTTTGGTTTTACGTGCGCTCAATCAAGATTCACTATGCAGATCGTCATTTCGACTTATAAATCATAAAATAATTTATTTCCCTCACAATGTCCATTTACATTTAGAAAACAAATAAATCTGCATCGACTCTAAGCACAATAGAAAACTGTTTGCCCCTTCTCATTAGCAACACCTGAACAGACTCGCACCTGCCCTTAAGTACCCACCTTCTTCTTCTGACATATTCAGTACACAAAAATGAAATACACCCCCTAGTGGAGATAAACACAGAAAAACAAGATAAAAGGCTCCTACAGTGTTGTTGATGTGGGTCATTTTTACTTCCTTGATCTTCCTGTTGGTTCCCAAAAGGAAATAATTTGAGTATGGAAACTGGTTGGAGTCTAAAATAAGAATCTTCCTTCGAAGGAAGACACGTGTTTCTTGACACCGTTAAGTTACCAGGTCTCTCTTGTAAATGAATCCTCGTGGCTCAATGGGACTAACCTGTTTAAAGGTTGAATGAATGAAAAAGTTAACAAGCCTGTTTCTTAATTTTCATTTAATTTTTTTCCATCAAATGTAAATTTTCTGAATAATTTCCTCCAACATTTAGATTTTGAACACCAGTCCAAACAGTGTAACACAACAACTTATTTATATTTCCACTGTGATAATACGTGTTGGTTATAAAGCTACAGGGCCGCACGGTGGATCAGTTGCTAGAGCTGTTGCTTCTCAGCGAGAAGGTTGCCGGATTGAATCCTGGCCGGGGGCCTTTCTGGGTGGAGTTTGCATGTTCTCTCCGTTCATGCGTGGGTTTTCTCCGGGTACTACGGTTTCCTCCCACAGACCAAAAACATGCATGTTAGGCTGATTGGTAACTCCGTTTGTCTTTGTGTGTCCCTGTGATGGACTTGCGACCTGTCCAGGGTGTCCCCCACCTCTTGCACAGCGACTGCTGGATATGGGCACTAGTGACCTCCGCAACACAAAAAGGAAGAAGTGGGTAAAGATGATGGATGGATGGATGGATGGATGGATGATTAAGAAGAGGTTTTTAACTAATATATAATATAGTTATATTTAATTCTATATAAATGCAATCTAATTAAATGAAATTATAATTAATACAATACAACCAACTTGGGGCTGGAAGAACTTATGGAAATGAAAACCAAGAAAAACACAAACTTAATGGCAGCAATAATTGTAAATACAAACATACATAGGAAAGAAAGAGAGTTGAGACAGTAAAGTGAGGAAATATTGTCAGTATGTCCCCCAGTCACCTGAACCTACAGCAGCATAACTAAAGGGATGGTTCACTTGAGTCACCCCTAACTGTAGGCTTTATATATAAAAAAATAAAAGAAGAACATTTTTAGTCCTAATCTTAAAACCAGAGGGTTTCTCTCTCCAGAATCAAAAGTGGAAGCTGGTTTTACAAGAAAAGAGTCGGACGACTGAAAGCTCAATGTGCCATTCTGCTTTTAGAACTTCTAGGAACCCCAAGTAAACCCAGAAGTCTGAGAGCACAGCTCTCTGCTGAGATAATATGGTACTGTGAGGTTTTTATGATCAAGCTTGGTTGTTATGAGCTCTATATGTGGAAAAAGAGGACAAAGTTGCATGTTGTCAATCTTGTCCGCAGAATGAAGGATTGTGGGTATTTAATCATCGCAAATGATTGGTCTCACATGTACCAGGATACCTAATGTGGTAACCTTAAGAATTCCTTTATTTAATGAAATTTACAATTTTACTTTACAGCATAAGGGTTCTGTATGATTGTCAAATCTTCAATAGAAACTTTGCCATGCCATCCATCCATCCATCCATCTATCCATCCATCCATCCATCCTTCATCTTTGTAACTAGATTTAATGTTTTAAGATAAACTCAAAAATATAACTTACAATAGATTCATTTTGAAAACAAAACTTTAATAATAAATAATATGGGTGAAAGACACACATCAGCTGCAGTGGACAAGCTTAATTATGCAAACCTGCAGTTTAATTTCATCACAAAGTCGAACGTTGTTCATTATAGCTTTAATCTTTTTTTTAAACCAAGAGTTGTCATCACCAGAGATTATTCCACATAAAGATCTAAAGTTGCACCAACAAACTATACCATACA